TAAAACTTATTACCTTAACTTTACCTACTACAAACCTTTAAAAGAAAGTTTAAAAAATTAGTTAGTTTAAGGTTGTTTAAAGTTTACTTTACAACCTAGACTTACGATTTCGTAGTTACAAGTTTAACTAGATGTGTGCAATAACCAAAGGCCATATATAGATTATACTTACATTTTAACACATAGTATACATACATAATGTAGTGAATTGAGATTAAATGTAGACAAAATGTACATATATTGTAGTTTATTATTACTACCTGCTCAACTTACCTTTTCTAACTTCTGAGCTTGCTACGTCACAGATTCAGTCGTCCTCTTGACAATCTGTATGTTTTGGTTCAAATGTTGGAGAAGCATCAATTGGAACCTGTGATGATTGAGCACCATGTTCATCTTCATACTGAATCTTGTCTGGCAGGTTAAGCACTCTAATCTCTTCTCCAGATTCAGTCATGCTTGTGAACTGAATGATGGAAATAACAGTTAGTTCAAGTAAATAAAAAATGTAGATTAATTGTAGTTATTATGAAGGTAAATGTAGCATCATACAAAAGAGAAAAAATATACCTTGAGCCACTCATGCTTGATCATCTTCTCTTCAATTGCAGTTAACCAAATCTGGCCCTTTGTAGCTGACCATCTTAAAATGCGAGGTATAGATTCAGAACATCGCGTAGCAAGCTCCGTGCTGACAGACGAGCAACACTCATATAGCCACACTTGCAAGGCTAATGAGCATCCCCGTATCAGATAAGAATGTACATGGGGATTAAGACGATGCCGGACAGATTCAATAACCTGCTTGAAGGATTTGATACCCCATGGGTATGACTCAAAATTACCAGACTCTAAACATAAACTTGTCTATGAAAGACACATGGTCTTTATCAGAAGGACAAACAAAAAATTCCAACAGATAAAGAATGCACAACCTCACTGCATCCTCATCGTTTGCCCAAACTTTATTTGTGACTACATTTTTCAAATGCCACTTTTCAACCCTTTGTTTGTTCGGAAAATAGGTAGCCATTAAATGGCTAACATAAGTGGAAGTGTAACCATAGTCTGAAAAATTATTCACACAATTTAGACCAGTAATCAACCCAAATTCTCTCAAGGAAAAATTTAATTTTTCACCCTTCAATAGTACTGAAAAATATGAGTCAGTAGACTTTGACAATTCATACTTCATCAGAAGATGAATTGCTTGGTTTTGCATACAGAATATGGGGAGACCAAATAAGTAACCAAAACAAGTTTTTTGGAAAAGCTTCAAAGCATTTGGAGAGAGTAAAGCTTTTATCTGGCTAGGTATGCTCGGATCACACAAACTGTGGAATCTAAGCACACCATAATCAACATTTTGTGGTGCAAAGTAATGGCCATTCTGCAGAAAATAAAAAATTATTAAACATTACTAGTTTGCATATAAAAGAAGCAGTAATCTACATATAACTACATGATAACTACAAAATACAACTAAAAGAAGAACAACCTACCCACCCCTATAACTACAAAACAATATAGGACATCTACACATGTAAACATTATGTCAAAACTATAAGGAAGAAAAGGGTAACTACAGCTCTATAACTACAAAAATATAACAGTTAGTTCAAATAACTCACAAAATGTAGATCAATTGTAGTTAGTATGAAGGTAAATGTAGCAGCATACAAAAGGTGAAAAATATACCTTATCT